TTTTATTTTTCAAAAAGACAAGTGTCAACTTCTGTTAAGGGCAACATCTCCTAAACCATAACAGTTTATAACAGTTATTCTTGGAAAATAAATTAACGAAAAACAAGTTAAATAGAGAATACTGTGGCCAAAATAGACTGAATGCGTAAAAGATGCCTTAACTTATTTTTCTCAGATGTCAAGTGTTGGGCCCCAACCAATCTTACATAACAGAAAATATTGGCCTACCCCACTCCGAGTCAGTCACTTATTTTTATTCAAGAACACAAGCATGTCTACGTGCTCTGGGGTCAAGCGGGTACGCAGTCGATTAACCACAAGTCCCGCAGCGGAGAAAACCCTCTCTGATGGAACAGAAGTCCCGGGGATGCAAAGGTAGCGCTGCGCCAATCTTGCCAATCTGGGAAAGCGCGTCTGGTTTGCCCTCCACCAATCAAGCGGATTGCTTTCTAGTGAGGGGCGACTATCTTTCACATATGTATCCACTTCCATCTGTGGATCCGTGGCATCGGCTGCGCTGTAATCATCTCCCAGTAGCAGACTCATTGCATTCTCCTTGTGGCTGGCTCCACTGGATGGACCCGCTGTCACAGCAGCATCATCATCTCCTCCTGCAGCACCAGGCTCTTCTTCCTCACCCATGTCCTCCTCCTCAATAGCTGCATGCTCCATGTCAGCACAGAGTTCCTTGAGTTTATCAAGCACTGCCTTTGTTTTTTCTCTTGATAAAAACGGTAGGTGTTTATGTCGAGGATCCAGGGCAGAGGCGATCACCGCTGGCATTGAAACCAAGCGTTCGTTGTAGTCAACCTGTGACGAACAATACAGCTGAATTAATGTCTATAATTAATTAATTCATTCATAATACTTGATATTTCGAATTGTAGCCTATACAACGCCCAACAGGCCTATAGCCTGACTATGTGTAGCCTAGTGTACTATAAGGCCATCTTTAAAAATATTTTGGTTTGCCGCAACAGCCTAAAAAAAAAAAAAAAAGGGTCGGTAGGTCGGTCTATATTTTTTCCGAGATTCAATGTAAAAAAAAAAAAAAAGTAAAATTTTGCTCAATTTATGACTAGTTAATGCGCCAGAGAGAAATGCACATTTCATTACAATACATAAGCAGAGAGCAGTCTGTTTTCTTTCGTTTTGAATTGTTCTGTTTAAAAGTGTACATTTCATGCTTTCTATATCTATATATATGTGTGTGTCTCAGGTCTGTGAGGCAAGTATACGCTGAGTTTCGGTTGATTTAAGAGACCAGCTCCAGTTCACGCGCCGGCGACTCCGTGCTTTAGCCTACCTCTTATTAAATCCCGGAAATTTGTTGATGAAACATTGGTTAAAATTAAGATACAATTAATATAAAAATGAAATTCACTTTAAAAACAGGCTATCTACAAAAACAGACTTAATGAAGTGGTCAAAATCATCTGCCCACTCCATTTGTCTCCCGATATTTTCGGGATCATCTTATCTTATTCCTGCTTTTCACTTTTCTTATAATCAACATGAAATTTAGAAAAATATATATTTTATTTAAACATGAATATGAAACTAAATCGTTTTTTCGTTACAACACATAAGTATTATTATAACAAGCGGCAAGTCGGTCGGACTAAAAGGGAGAAAAAAATTTGGGTCGGACGGTCGGTCCTAAATTGACAGGGTCGGTTGGGTTACGGCAAACAAGAATATTTTTAAGGATGGCCTAAATTACTCCTAAACACAAAATTATAACTTACCTCCATGCGTTCACTCAATGACTGTTGAACCTTGGCCTTGAACTCCGCTACCCGAGGCCTGTCATTGGTAGCGATGGCCATGTGCTTATTAATGATGCTGAAGGTGATGGGGTAGATGTGGGAGATCGACACGGTCTTCTCAGAAGACATGATAGTGGTTGCGCATTTGAGGGTTTCCAGGACAGGTTTAAGATCAGCCATTATTGCCCAGTATTCGTCCTTGATCTCGAGAATTCTGGCATCCTGCAGCTTTGTGACGGTGCGGTCGGACAAGACGGCTGTCACTGCCCATCGCTGTTCGAGAAGCCTCTCAAACATGTCGAACACCGAATTCCATCTAGTTTTGCAGGACTGGATGAGCTTGTGTTTGGGGAGCTGCATCTGTTCTTGTTTGGCCTCGAGGGCTTTGCAGGCTACAGTGCTGTGATTGAAATGGCGAACTAGTTTTCCGGCTGCAGATATAACTTTATACACAAACTGCTTAAATGCGTCATTGATCGCCAGTTGTAGTGTATGGGCGAAACACGCAACTGATACCCAGTCCACCCTTTCAGGAATGTTGGCAGCCACTATGTTGTTCGCGTTGTCGTGGACACATGCGACCACTTTCCCTGTCATTCCCCAGGCATCTACCGCTTCGTTTAGTGTTGCAGCCAGATTGTCGGCGGTGTGTCTGCCTGGCATACTTTTCGTGAGGAGTACTGCTGATTTAACCTGCCAGTCCTTGTCAGTCCAGTGGCAGGTGACTGTCACATAACTCTCTGTGGTTAGTGCTGTCCAGCAGTCTGTCGTGATGGCTACACATCTGGCACGATACAGGCGCGCTTTGAGCTCATCTTTTTTCTTGACAAAGCGCTCTTCAATGCGTGTGGTTATGGTCTGTCGAGATGGGACTGTGTAGTTGGGTTCAAGGAATTGTATAAGCTCTAGAAAGCCCTCACCGCTTACAAAGTCAAGGGGCAGCATGTCTTTTTCAACCATTCCGCATATCTTTTGGGTAATAGTCTCTGAGCGCTGTTTGTCACATTTCCTACCTGCTAGCATAGATGACACGGTAGGTTGGCTTTGGCTACCTTTCTCACCCGAAGAGGCTTGCGGGTGTCGCGTTTTCAGGTGATACATCATAGATGATGTGCTGCTACTATATTTAAGCACTGTATCACACAAGTTGCAACTTACATCTGTCTCATTCTTTTTGGTGAAATGGTCCCACACACTACTTTTCTTTGCACGCTTCATCCTGTCGTCTGCCCTGGCTCTAACCTCGAGTGTTTTAGCCTGTTGCCTTTACTTTTCGCAA